AAAAAATGGAAGAAATCTTACCAAAAAAAGCACAAAAAACAACAAAACAACCTATTAAATCCCCCAATAACATGATGTTAGATACCCAGCCCCACTCCATTCCTCTATAGTCCAGTGGCTTTCACTGGAACCAATGTCGGAATATGTGGGAATATCATGACGAGGAATACTAGTACAACGGGGTCCAGGTCAGGGGATAGGGTTAGTTCCTGGTCCTGGTCCTGGTCCTGGTCCTGGTCCAGTCCCTACAGGTGCCTTTTTGCCTAATAGCTGAAGACTCTTGGGCTTCTTCTCTTTTTTCCACAATGTTAGTATACTAGGAGCCCTAACTTAATTTAAGACTAACCCTCAAAAGATGCTCTCAGAGTCCCTTCCATTGGGCATAAATAAACCAGTGCCGGTCCTTGTTTTTCCTCATATTCAAGGGGTCTTCTTGCCAGATGAAGGCTCTTTACCTTCACGTTTCAGCAGAATTTACAGGTCACTGGTGATCCAGCATTTAAGGAAGCACTTCCATGTCCTTGTAGCTCACAGTCTGCAGATGGGGGGGGGGGGGGGGTCCCCCCCTCTCAAGTACCTTATCCTCACTCAAAAACTGCAGATGTACAATAGACTGAGCGTTTTTGATCATTTTGTTCACACATGGGTCAGTACTGACGTCTATACCCATGGGAATATCTGAATTTGTATCTTTCTAAATGTTCCTATGGAACGTATCTCTCTCATCCAGATTGATCTTTTACTTAATAGCAAATTGCTTATCAACTCTATTAGAATTCCGATGAGCAGCACATATCAAACATGTCATTTTTTCTTACCAAAGCACTTTGTCTATGTGAACTTACACCTTTAGAAAAGATGGGAGGTTATAATCTCTAGTCGCTTTGGTCAGAACTCTACAATTGTTTCAAAAGGCATGGATGTAGCAGAGTTAGCCAACTTTATTCTGAACATACCCATGCATATGTATGATCCGAAAGTGTCCGGTATACATGGAATATGCATGATAGGGTATCTTCTGTACCACCATCTTACCAGTGCAATGCGGGTTTATCATGCACCCTGTGTAATAAGTATAGATGTATAGATATGTGTAAGGTTATGTGATCAGTAAAGTGCTGCTAAAGTGAAAATATTTGAAGGGTGGACGTAAATCGAAGTGCTTTGGCAGTCGCTCTTTTTCCTTTTATGCTGATAAAACTCCGACTGGTCATCTCAGAGGTGGGGACAAACTGACAGGAGAGGGACACGTTTGGTTGAGCTCTTTATTGTGCGAGCGTACAAACAGACAAACGCTGATTAGTGGCATCTAAAGCATTCGCATGCACACTACCGTTGTCCATTGTCCAGTCCAACAGAAAAGGATGCAATTAAGCAACAGTCAGACCTGGGCTAAGACCCGGGGCTAAAACCTGGGGCAGGCCCAACAGAATAGTCGCTAGCTATCATGGTTGGAGGTTCAAATCCCGAATCGGGGCCTTCTTGTGTGTATAGTTTGCGTTATTTCGAGTGCTCAGACTTCCAAAAGTGGTCCAGAAATAGCATGTTGGGTTATTCTGAGACTCTAAATTTGATTGAGGTGGGGAGTGAGAGTGTGCATGTGGTGGACTGGCCTATCCAGAAGGTGGAACCCAACTCTAAGCCAATGGCAACTGGGATAGAGGGTAACTGGGATAGACTATCCTTATAAGGATAGTCTTCCTAATGAAAGGCCACTACAGCTTCCATTGAGTCATGTTCTGGATCTTTGTTTAAAATATTTTTGCTTTTGCTATCTAACAGCATCTGGCAGCTAAAATCCTTCAGTCATCGGTGGGCTTTTTTGTTTAAGAACCTGGGAATCCAACAACACCAACCAAAGTCACCTGCCAATGCCTAGAAGGCTGATGTCTTTCAGAGACTCATCATACTCTTCGATTGTAGATCAGTTGTTTTCAGTGTTGAAATAACTAACAGGGCTGCACAAAAAGAGACTTGAAGACTATTTTTCTCATTTAGTTCCTGCTGGACCCCATGGAGGAGGTTTGCAAGAGGCATTACGCAAGTGTTTATACTTGCATAAACGCAAGTTACTTACTTTATACTTTAAAATCTGCTGAAATAACTGAATTTCCCTACTTTGAATTCCCTACTTTGGTAATGCTATTCAGTGGCTCTAATTGCTTGTTGGATTGAACGCGAGTGTGTGAGGTTGTTGGATCAGACCCGCCTATCGCCCAATGGCATCTAGGATAGGCTCCTTCCCTCTGAGACCCTTTTTGTTTGACTTTAAATCAAGTTATGTGAGACAGTTGTGGCACAAATTGACATCTCTGTTTATTTAATCCTTCAAGGAACCAATCTGAAATAATTCCAGTGTACTTTAATCCAGGTCTGTGACAGTGTTATACCCTAGGACACTGCTACTCCACTACAGTACAGCTCTAGGTAGTAAAAAACAGTCATGACACACAACACCAGTAGCATATTCTAATCTTGGTTATAGTTCCTCTCCTATAGTTATGGTCTACTGTTGCTGTCCACCTGCATGGTGCACCCTAACCCTAACCCTAACTCTAGTCACAAATATGCTGATTGATGAAAAAACAAAAATCTCCTGACCCATAAAGCCCCTGATCACTATGAACCTGCATTATTTTGTGGCCTGTGGAGGACCCAAAACTTTGAAGTTTTGAAGATTGGCTGAGATGATTGTTGAAAATATCAGTCCTATTACTGGCTAGTGACTTTCCTTAATGCAAAAGTGCTTCTTCCTGTGTCTGATACACACTGAGATTTTCATCAAGTTCATCTAAATGCGTCACGAAACTGGGTTTAAGCTTCTGCCTTTTCTACAAACTTAGTGCCACCCTCTTTAAGACTACTCTATTCTTTACTGCCTGGGGAGGTATCATCTCAGATATGTGTCAGGGTAATGTGTAAGTATGAGTTGTATCCCTTAAAATGTACAGAGGGCACCATGTGTGGCAGAGCTCAAAGAAAAGGGAAGAAATTCATCAAACAGAGGAGTGAAAACATTAGTTCAGCCATGTGGAAGGACTAAAAAGTGTGTGGAATTGCACTGGGTCTGCATAATAACCCAAACAAATCATTCTAAGAGCCAAACTGAGCATTACCATCATAAAGATGTGCAGCCTCAATGATGCACAAGGTGGAGAAAAGACAACTAAAAAGGCTCTCTGCTCTAAGAGAAGCCTCTTAAAGAACGATCTCATTCAAACCGGTCGGATGTGTACTTACTTTGGAAGTCGCTATGGATAAAAGCTACTGCTAAATGCATAAACGTGTAAATTACAGGTAAAAGTCAAAGTGCAGTAAGTATGTGCCTGTATGGTACACCAGAACGATGATCATAAAACCCTATTTATCTTTTTTTCCAAGCATAATTTAAAGTAAAATACCAACCTAAATTCTATTACTTGTGATGTTTGATGCCAGCTTTTGCTTTTCCCATGCGAATAGTTATGAGACAACTTGTCTTTGTGTAAAATCTTGCCTTTAAATGTTTGAATATTGTGTTTACATGAACTTTAGTTGAAAAGAAGTCGCCAGACAAATTTGAATAATTTCAAATAAATTAATCAGGTTCACTTTAAATGGATGTCATCCAGGATTAATCCAGGCCTTTTGGTTTCACACATCTTCTTTTTGCGAAAGAAATACCCAAACATTTTACAATCCAATGTCATGGACATGAATGATGAAGCTATAAAAAGCCATTTCTTCCCTTTTCTTCTGTTCTGAAGTCATTCGGGGAACTTGTTTTTTTTCATTCATCTGGAATCAAAACCACTGCTTAGAAGCTTTAGCTAGATACAACATTCAAGTCCTAAGAACTTAAGTAAAAGCTGGACCTCTTCTTCTGTCTGACCTTTTGGAAAGATAGACTAACTAACTCTCCTTAGACAGGGGGTTAAGACTCCACTTTAGGATGGAGTTTAGAACTGAAAAAGCCTTTAAGATGACAGGACAAATGCCTTCAAGATCCAAGACGAAGAGTAACTCCAGCTGCCTTTACTAAGGTCTTAGGATCGCTACGACCTGGATGACCGACGGTCTACATCAACATAACATTGTAACCTGCCTCCTAACCCTAATATGTAAACCTGGAGACTGCTAGACAAAGTATGAGAGGTCTGAGGAGAAGACTCGGCAGAAGATTTGGACCTGAGATGGGATGATCGTTATGGGACGATCTGCTCCGTTGGTAATTGGAATTTAGACGCCCCACGGAGGCCGGGTTGTCCCGTCAAACCCTCCCTCCAACCGTAGCTAATTAATCATGACAGCCCCCTTCGGGTTGCTACGGTAACAGACGGAGAAGGTCGAATCGGAATAAAAATGAAGACACCTGCTCAATATTCAGCGGTGTGCTCGCCTCCTTCCAGAAGCAATCTATGCGTCTGATGAGGATAGTGAATTTGAAGTAGGTTACCTCTCCCTGTGAAGTTTTAAGAACCCCAAATGTCTCTGAAAACAATATAACACAACAGTTGACCAAGCAGTAATACAGAGTTCCTGTGGCTCAGCCTGAGATGGGAGAAAAGGATGTCTACAGGGATTAAACATAGAGACGGGATGTTTGCATATGAATAGACACATATTTGTACGTGCGTACATGTGGTGGTATACATGGATACCACCCTAACCCTAACCTAGGGAGGTATCTGTGATTAGCCAAGTTTTTTAAGTTTACAACGGGGGTCTGGTCATCAATGCAAACTATCGATGATAGTCAAACTATCATCCTACAATGTATTACAGCAGTTCCCCGAGGTCTGAGTCACAAATCCCAGGGATATACCATCGGTAACCCAGACCAAGACAAGGCTGGACCTGATCAGTCAGTCAGTTCAGATACCCATCAGGCGTTGCACTTCATCCCAGAAGAGGAGTCCTCCGACTTCCAGTTTTGTCGGTGGCCTAAAAAAGCTACTGGCAAAACAGTTTGAGGGTAAACGCGCAATATACAGTCTTTCCTACCAATCCCACCGGTCTTGCTAGTAGTACTCCTCGTAGCTCTTGGGGTTGAGACAGTAGAGGATTCCACCGCCGAAGGAGAAAATAGTCCCTCCCCAGGCCAGGCCGTAGCCCCAGTTGAACTCGTGATAGATCCTCAAGTTGATGCTCTCTATGAACTTGATGGGGTAGAGGACCAGGCAGCAGGCCTGCAGGACAACTGGAGGAAACACAAACAGTGACTACAAGGCAAACCTTTTGGGGATTAATAGAGATTCAAATCCGTGGAGAAGATCGCTGCAAAGCAAGAGAGTAACAGGTTTAAGTCCCGGCTGGTTCTTCTTGTTTATGTGTGGGTTTCTTCCTCCTAAAGTCCAAAACCATGTATGTTTTGTAGATTTTTTATTGATTCTACAAGACCATGATGTGGTGGACTGTTCTTCTTTTCCAATAACAGCTGGAATAGGCTTCAACCCTAACCCTAACCCTAACTCCTATCCTCTTACAACTATAGAAAATAAGCAGGAATAGAAAATAGGGGGAATGTTTTCCATAAGCTCCGAAAAGCTGTTCAAATAGTGATCCATCAGATCACAACACACATTTCCTTTTTGAGATTAGTTTAGGATTTCAAGCGATAAGATGTTAATGCCTCCATCTTGTGAGTTTTAACCCGAATTAAGGCTTTGAGGGTAGAGAAACTGTTTTCGTTGTCAGTGGGTTTTAAGGCCATAGAACAGAAGGTGGAAATTTGGTCTGTTTTTAATAGAATCCTGAGCCCTGATAAACATTGAACAGAGTTATTTTGTTATTTGGAAATGTTCTCCCTTCTAGCCAATTATTTTTTTCGTTTGCAAATTAAAGCACCAAAACAGATGAATGAATCCCTTACACCAATGAAATTAATTGTTTTCATTCCCCCTTCTTTTTTCACACATTCAGAGACCCCGATTAGACAGAGAAAACCTAATTAAACATCTCTCTGGCATCACACATCTTTCAAAAAACAGACAGTTCAGTTTGAATCTTAGACCTGCACCTGGACTGAGGGGCTTTTCCCAACTGATTCAGATCAAACTGATCTATTCACTAGTTAAAAGACTGTTCCCCCAACTTCCATTGCAGTGTTTATGTGACCAATCTTGTCACCACGTTCAGAGATAGATTCATTTTTCAGTTTGCTTCCCCTTTATATGGGAGTTTCTTGCACAAAGAGGCATGTGAAGTGCGCAGAACAGTGTCGGTGGGGAGGGCTTTTCTTGAAGAAACAATGTTAACAAAGGCCTTGAAGGCTGTTGCAAGACCTTGCTTCATCTCTACGTCAGTAACTGCCTCACAACATTACTTCAGTTGTTATTAGCTGTTCCAGTGTATTCAGCCACATAGTGCACACTTCGACTGGATACCCTGGAACCCTAGAACCCTTATGGTACATAAAGGGATTTTTCCCCTTGTGAGGACAGTGGGTTTATCTTTGTTTTAAATGTATGTATCTAGAGCTGTATTTGTGATTCGGTCCAAATTGCTGTCCAAAAACTAGAAAACTAAATTCAGAAATCTGAAAATCTCTGATTTCAGGACATGCCTCCCCTCGGTAGCTAAATCAAATCAGCCGTAACTCAGCACTTAAGGAGTTTGACAGTCTTTCGTTACTGGAACAGGCTTTGGCTGCTCTACACCTCATCCTTATCTATTAAATATCAGGGAGCAACCCAAAGGCTGTTTGTGCTGCTTTTCTGGTTTATGCTTCTGCATTTAGACGCTTTTATCCAAAGCGACTTACGAGTCGAATTGAGTAGACTCAATTTTACAGTTACCATCAATATAACAAGAAATCCTCTAGAGGAAAATCCCTGGAGGAAAATCCCTAGTCAGAATCAGTGGTGGCAGCAAAGAGAGTCAGGATGAGTTGGATTGACCCGCAATGGACCTTTTGTGTGGGCAGAAACTGGAACGAATCCCTTGAGACTCTATCCGAGTCCCTTTGAGTTAGAACTATGTCAAACCGGTATGTGTGGCTATACCTTAAAGAGGTCTACCATTAGATGGCTTTGCTAAGTGGATAAAAAGGATTCATTCTAAAATATCTAACTTGATTATGTCACGTCTGGGGGAATGTCTGGTGTGTTGTCATGTCTTAATTACCTATTGTGTTCCCCTGGGGTTCCCCTCCCTCATGTGTTTAAATAGTCCTCGTTTCCCATGTCCTGGGCCAGTGTGTTTTCGTCTTTTTGCTTTCGTGTCCTTGGTTCCACGTCATGTAAGATTTTGATTTTTGCACCTTTGCCACAGTCTTGTTTTTTTGTGTGCCATAGCCTTGTTTTTGTCACAGCCATGTTTTGTTCACAGCCATGTTAATCTTACGTTGATACTTTGTTCATAGTTTTGTCACAGCCTTGTTTTGAACTTTGTCTTGACACCCACTCCGTTTGAGTGCGTTTTTTGTTCCAATAAAACCCCTGGAACCAACCCTCTCCGCAGTCCTCCCTAAGACCCACCCCCCTGACAGAATAATGACATGGCAGCTATCGGCCATGCTGTCCATATGCACGGCACACCTGAGAAGAAAGAGGAAATGAGGGCAAATGTGGAGTCAGTGGAATTAGCATCATTCAATACTCGAATAGGATTCTCAATTTGATCTTTTTAAATCAGACTCATGTTTCCAAAAGTGCTCGACATGAGTCTCCTAACATTACCCAATTTCTTTGAACACATAGATTAGGCATGCGGAGACCCCACAGGTTTAATATGTTCCTCTGCTTCTACGCAACCCATTTAAAACGATTCAAACTGAATGAAATCTGGTGTGTGGAAGCAGCTAAAACCTCCAAGATTGGAATTTGAAATCCCCGGTGGGTAACGTTATTAAACCCAGAGTTTGGGATTGAGATGAGATCATAACTTGTCGTAAGGAAATAGCTCGCCATGTTCCGATTGAGGGTTTGGGTTCTTCTGGAGTCAAACATTTGGGTTAGCGTGCAGGATTTAGATGGACAACGGAAAGCCATAAAACTGGATTTTTAACACAAAACGATGCGCTAACCTGCGGCGAAGAGCATGAAGGCAACAGGAGTGTAGAACCGGCGCCGAGTGCCGATGCACACGGAAACCAGCGCCACCAGGAAGGCCGTCAGCACCAGGGCCCCGCCCCCCAGCAGCAGGGCCAGCGTGGCCACCTGCCAGTCTGCAAGGAGAAGACAGCCCACAGGTAGGAACACGATATCAGACCTCTGGTTTACGACCTGGTGGCCAACAGGAGGGCAGTTAGCTTATTAACTCACTGACTGGCAGCCATTTTCAGAACAGAGTCCCATACTGCCAGAGTTTTTTGAGCATTTTGACTGATTTTTCAAGAGCCACAGAATAGTTTGTGCTATGACTATGTAAACACCGAACACA